AAAGGCTTTGGCTGACCAGACTCCGCCACCGTTTCCCATCCATGCCCTGTGTTTCGCTAAGAGCCAGCTTCTTTGGTGTTGTGTCCTGAGCGCATCGTGGGAAGGGCTTCGTGGGAGAAAACCAGGAAAAACCCAATAGCTGTGAGATTCCTGCACCGTGTCTCATCTCCACAGCGTGTTTGCAATTGAGCAAACACAATCTGTCTGGCAGATGACCGAGGATGCTGTGCCTGCGAGGAAAGGGCCTCTCTTTGACCTATGACTGTATCTGTGTGCAGCGTTAAGTGTGTTTAGTTAGAGATCAGTCATGGGTTTGTCACGATGCCTTATCACAGAGCAATCGCCCTCTCGCTTGCGGTGTCGTCCAAGGAGACATGCCTGTGCCGCTCCTCTGCCCGCCGTAGTTGTGCCCTTTGGCAGGCAGAGCAGCGAGCCAAGGACCTGCCACTCGGTACCCCATCCTTGCCAGCCTGCACGGGCACGGCAGCGGTGGGGGAGAGGAGCCATCACTCCCACAGTGTCTCTTCCCACCACGCTGGAGCTGGTGCGGAGGAGCCGGGCAGTATGCGACGTTCCCCCGCCTCTTGATTGCAGCGAGTCCTCAGCGCTGCCCACAGGACTACAACAGAAATCATGCCACATGTACAAAACCGAAAGCTTTTCCTACTACAATTTGTTCTTTCCTACCCCCGTGGCCTTTGTTAGCAAACAAGACGCCAGTGTTTGAGGGGAGAGACAATGGTGTGGTTCAGCTTGCTCTGCGAAGGCAGGCTGGAAATGGCGCAACAGCTGAGTTGCCCTCTTCCCCCTCCTTTTTAATTCTATTATTCTGATTCGGTGACATTTATTTTGCTGTAAATGCCCAATTTGCAATACAGTGCATGTGTTTTACAGAGAGACTAGTAAACTAAAATCATATGTTAGGCAGAAATCCTTTGGTCTGAAAACTCAGACAACCCATATTTGCCTTTCAGCCTTCTCTAGCTTAGACATTCAGTGAAAACCAGCAATAATATCTTTAGCCGCTGGCATTCTCCTCCTTAGCTGCAGGCTAACTTGCTAACTTGATCAAGAGATCCTCTTTAAATGGTTTGACATCATGTGCAGTATTGCACATTAAGAAAAAGAAAACAGATAAAAGAAAGCGCTGGGGTTGGCCTGTGATATCAGTATGTTGGAACTGGTTGCTGCTGAGAATTTGTCGTTGCTGCTGTTTGCATTATATTTAGAGAGGGAAGGGGTTATGTACGTGGTCCAGCTCATCTCAGTTTTACAGCACCATTTTAGACACTGAACCTGGTAGAGATTTGTATGATTAAGTTTCTTAAGAGGATGCACTCACTACACATCCTGTGTTTGCAAGGGATCCCATTAAACAACTGTCTAAACAGGGACCAAGCAAAGCAGAAAAAGCAACCTAAGAGATAAATAAAATTTCATATACAATAAACAGTAAATACTTATCTGCCTTAGTCATATGAACTGCTTTGGCTGGGTTGTCCTCTTCCAAGTCTATTAAGTTTAATGCTTCTGTGCGAATGCTCAGAGTTTCCATTAAATATAATATGTCTGATCCCAGGATGACACTGATATTCCAAAAATAGTTCAATAAATAGAAATTCCAAGATGTATCATCATAAGCCTGTAGCTTGAGTATCAAATCTGCCATGTTATGTAAAAAATATTGGTTATATAATAGGATTTTTATTAGTCTAGTGACATAAATACAAATATTAGAACATTATTAGGAAATCAACCTCTCTCTGACTTTGTCTCTGTTATGCTGGAAGTCAGAGAGAAAGTGGCTTATGTATATATGAGGATTTAGATGCTATAGCTTCAGAGGTATCTAACAACCCAGAGCTGGTTTGGGGGTTTTGTTGCAGATAAATGTAAATACATTTAAAATGGTACTGAGAAAAAAAAAAAATGGAGTGTGATAAGAACTTCAAACTGCTCCTAATGTTCTTTCGTGATGGCCAGAACTGAAGCCATTGCCGCAGATGAGGTCAGAGATGTCCCTAAAACCAGTGCTCCTCATCACTTGAAATACATCGAGAGCGAGCTGCGGAGGTATAGTCTGTCTTTATCTGTTGGAAAGCAGATAAAGGTCCTGAGCTGGCAGAAATCAGAACTCACTAGCGGGAGGACATATGGAAGAGCAGCAGGGATTTCCTCCAGGCAGAGCAATGTTCATACATGCATCCCAGCCAGTTGTCACCGGTGGGCAGAAAACAGTGCTGAGCCCTGGGGAAAGGCTGGACTAGGCAGCAACTGCTCAGCGAGGAAGGGGGTTGCGTCGAAATCCTCCCGGTCAAGGAGCAGAAGCTTTGGAGTATGAGAGCGAGTAAAAGAGGTGCTGTGAGTTACCTGGTAAAGAAAGGAATAAACTATGCTATACATGGAAATAGGTGCATCATTTTATATAAAACTAAGAAGCGGGATTTTGCAGGTTGCACAACTTCTTGAAAACCCTAAGTAGGGCACTATCTGAAATTGCACGGCCTGATGTTACTGTCAGCCGACCATCTGTCCTCATGGGCTTTCAAATCAGGAGAGCATTGCTTTTACTAAGAGCAGGCAGTCTATATGGTGGAGGTTTTAGTAAGTGAATTAGATGAACCTTTGACTTTTCAGACTGAGGTAAAAGCAGACTGAAAAAATAGACGCAAGCTCAACTTCTCAAGTTAATATAAGTGACTTAAATACTTAATTTCACATATTTTGTGGGTAAGTTGAAGTAGGGCGGACTGTAAAAGGCTGATGTGGTCTTTAGTGTCTCTAGTTCAAAAAGGCAGTTTTCCCAGTAGTGCTGGTAACCCCCGGGTTGTCTCAGTCGCAGCATCTTGAGCGTTAGACACGCCTTAGAGAATTAAGTCTCACAGTGCTTTGCCGATCAGGTAACTCCTGTCCTGCTCTTATGGGTGGAGAATGGGCATACTTACTAAGGGAGCAGGAGAGGGGAGCTGGAGGGAGAGAAGCCCATGGGGAGGGAGCACTGAACATCCTTCCCAGGGGATGCTCAGTGTTACCCATCTGTGTCCTGGGACAAGGAACTACCTGCCCGTAAAGAAGTGAATCAGGTGCCCAAAGTAACACTACAAGCTGTAGCGCAGACTGGTCAGGCTCCAGATCCCTCCTGTCCCT